GTTCCGTTTCTAAATTTCTGGCGGAGTGAATTGCGTCATGGTACTCTTTTACTCACAGAAGGAACCCAACTGACCCTACTATATTATACAGACGACAAAATAAAAAACAAGCAACGCGCATGCGCGAAATTACAAATATAAATTGGCGACAATTTACCCATCTATATATATGTATATATATATATATTGATGTAGATTTGGGAAGGAAACTTTCTCTCAAATATGTTTCGTTAAATAAGGGCATACAAGGAAGATTCAAACTTTTATTTAGTAGGAATTCAGAGAGTAGAAAAAATTCTATAATTTTAATTGTCCAAAGCACTTTCGGTTACTTTATCTATTTTCAATGTTTTCACATGATGCGTTCCCGTCATTATTATTTCATCGGACTAAAGTGATATTTACGATGATGTGAATGCACATGCGCACTAGAGAGAGAGGAGACGCTGATATTTTAAACTTTATATATCATTTTTGTTTTATTCTTTTTAATATGCGTTTGTGTATATAGTTTAGCCAGTTTCATTTAGTTTCATTTTTTTTTTTTAGTTTAAGTTTTTATCACTTTTCTTATTATTCATCGTGATAAGAGAAGATCTGCCAAGGAGGGGGAAATGTAAGAACCTGGACGCAAATTTATTGTGTATAATCTGGCGATTAAAGCGCTTTCTATGCACTTTCGTCATTAGTAAATTGGTTTCGCTTTTAATTAAATAGCATTTCTTAAATTGAAATTATGGTCAGACTCATTACATTGAGCAACTAATGCAGTGATTGTGTTGTTTTGTAAAAGATTCCTTTTGTCTTCATATAACTAATCTCCACGAAGCCCTGGGTAGTGTATATATATATATATATATATATATATATATATATATATATATATATATATAGTTTGTTATTTTAGTGTGTTTCCCCCCTTTTTGCTCTTCATTTTCGTTAATATTCTTTTCGTTGATTAATTATCCAACGATTGTCTCCTGATGAGATGTTGGTTGAAAGGACCTTAGAGACATTTAAAATTAAAATCAATACATTCCTTGTTTTTAAAACTATATATATATATATATATATATATATATATATATATATATATATATATATGATGGACTCACCCGTCGGTTTCGACGTATGAGGATCTGACAGCTTATTGATTCAGTTATAAAAGTTTGTGCGATAATCTTAAGTGGCATTTAAGACCCGCTAGTGATTTACAAAGGAGGCAAGTGTGAGGACTGTGGGATGTGATCACTGTTAGATTAGCTGACCTTTTAGATCTTGCTCTCTCTCTCTCTCTCTATATATATATATATATATATATATATATATGCATTTAGGCAGCAATCTTTCTTTCATGCACATTTCATTGAATACGACAGACAATTAGTTTTTATACAATATCTCATGCGATCTAATAATTTGTTTCTTGTCGGATGATTAAATAAAAACTGTCCGAATGTTCTTTTTATTCGAGGGCTTTCGGCTACACATTTAGCCATTTTCAAGGATTAAACATTTTAACTGTTAAAATAAGAAATAGTTTGTTGCATGTATGTTTTATAAAATGCTTTCATTTTTCAAAACACGGTCAAGATATTATGTCCATGTTCAAAGTTAATATTATTAAGTGTTGTTTTTTTTTTATTAATAAGGCTTCCATTTTTTTTTAATATGTCAATGAGTGAACGTGCGTGTAAGTATGTTTGCGTAAGTATGAGCGGTGTACCGACGACAATTTTTTCACCCACTACCATAAAAACACCGATATACGCAACCATATATAAATCCAATATGTAAAAATTAATCAGTTTGTCTGACGATCGCAAATAGCGTGAAACCCAGGGTCACAAACTCACATCAATCCAACTATATATATATATATATATATATATATATATATGTTGTGGTAGGATCCACCTAATTTGCATAGTGGAGTACTATGGAAATACTATATATACTATATATTTGGCACCGGGAAGAGAAGGGGAGGAATCAAGAGATTCAATCCAGAGACTCTGCCCGACTGCGACGAAGTCAACACATTCTCCAGGAACGGTCTTCCCAGGAATATACAAAAGACTATATGTAAATATTGTGCACACTTTCTTCTTTCAATACATTTTGTTCTAAGTACATTTTGTGTTGCATTTTTATTCCATGCATTAGTCAAGTTTCAATATATATATATATATATATATATATATATATATATATATATATATATATAATTATTAAGTCGACTCTTCTCACTCTCCTCTTTCATAGAATCGGTCTTTCACCACCCGCTTTGTAAACAGTCCATCATTGTAGTTAAGACATCTACCAAGTAGCGTTATCAATGTCAAGGAGATTTAAGTGCAGCGATCATTTACAAACAAAGTGTTTGTACTGTTTCTCTCGTAAGGATAAGGAAAAACATATCTACCTGATCAAAACTAGTTTCATTTTGTTAAAAATAACAGTACTATTTGATATCAGTCTTATTTGATGGAAATAATAT